GAAAGAAAGAAAGAAAGAAAGAAAGAAAGAAAGAAAGAAAGAAAGAAAGAAAGAAAGAAAGAAAGAAAGAAAGAAAGAAAGAAAGAAAGAAAGAAGCTAAAAATTTTTATTAAAAAAGAATCTAAAACCAAACACCCACCTAGCCACTGCCACCTTCCCTCCAAAACCAAAAAAGTACAACCAAACGGGCAACCAAACCAAACCAAAAAATATCCAAGCAAATAGGGAACAAAAAAAAAAATACAGTAGTAGTTTTAATCTCTGTGTTAGTTTTCACTAACCCCTTTCTCTTTTGAAAAATATTTCAGATTGTTTCTGTTAGCACCACTTTTATTGCTCCATTATGTTTATAATGAAGTATCATTTGTATTTGCTGACAGCAGCTGTGCAGCACCAAGAGAGATGCTGGTTGTGAAACCACATCCAAGTGACTGTAAATGCTAGAAAAGCAGACTTACCATCACGGGCATGAGGTGTACTGACTGCTTGAGGCACAAAACGAGATGAAACACGGTCTTCACGAGGTGTACTGACTGCTTGGGGTGCAAAACGAAGCCGACCAGAGTCTTCACGAGGTGTACTGGCTGCCTGGGGTGCAAACTGAAGCTGAGAAGAATCTTCGCGTGGTGTACCGACCATGTAGGTTTGATAGCGAGGCTGAAAAGATCCTTCACGTGGTGTACCGACTATGTAGGTTTGATAGCGAGGCTGAGAAGAATCTTCGCGTGGTGTACTGACTGTGTAGGTTTGATAGCGAGGCTGAGAAGAATCTTCGCCTGGTGTACTGACTGTGTAGGTTTGATAGCGAGGCTGAGAAGAATCTTCGCCTGGTGTACTGACTGTGTAGGTTGAAAAGCGCGGCTGAAAAGATCCGTCGCGTGGTGTACTGGCTGTGTAGGTTGAATAGCGAGGCTGAAAAGAATCATCGCGTGGCATACTGGCTATGTAGGTTTTAAAGTGAGGCCGAAAAGATCCGTCGCGTGATGTACTGGATGCGTAGCTTGAAAAGCGAGGCTGAAAAGAATCGTCGCCTGGTGTAACATCTGTGTAGGTTGAAAAGCGAGACTGAGAAGATTCTTCACGTGGTGTACTGACTGCTTGGAGTGCAAAGCAAGTCTGAAAATGTTCATCGCGAGGTGTACTGGCTGCTTGGGATGCAACACTACCATCAGTGGCATGTACATGAGATGTACTGGCTACTCGGGATGAAACACTACCATCAGTGGCATGTACATGAGATGTACTGGCTGCTTGGGATGAAACACTACCATCAGTGGCATGTACATGAGGTGCACTGGCTGCTTGAGGTGCAACACGACCATCAATGGCATGTTCATGAGGCATACTGATCGCTAGAGGTGCAGAGCGAAGCTGAGAAGGTTCTGGTCGTCTTGTTAATGCTTCAATTGCGAAAGATATCAGGTGGTAGATATTCACAAAACTTGTAAGCACGGCCTTTAAATAAAAATGAAAGAAATCATCAGTGCTACGCAAGCTATGCTTAAATGCCAAATAGCATATATCCAAATTCATTGCAGAGGACATAGTTTTTATTCATCAGAGAAATCAAATGAAGTTTGTAAGCCAGGTGATATTTCAGTCCCAGGACTTTAACATTAAAAAGGTCTAATACTGTATTTTGTATTTCTTCTAAAATCTTAACTATTAATAGCATTGAAGAAGAGGAAATGACTGTACACCCCAGATAGAAAATGTTTTGATGAGATGCTTTCAAGCATGAAGTGCAGCACTGAACAGTTGATACCATTTTTCATTTTATTTAAATGCAAGACTCAGTGTAGGTTCAATTCCTGTTCACAAAAGATTACCACACGGTTTCAGGCAAATGTTCATACTTCCAAAATAAGTCTATTTACTAATCTTTCCATTCTGCAGCAAAAGAATTAATTTGGCAGAAACAAAATAAATACTGTAAACCTACAGGCCTCTGAAAACAAATAATCTGATTACAATATAGCTGGGGAAATGTAATTGTTTTCATGTATGTAGTGGAAGAATGTCCCAGTTGTGTAATACTGATTCGACGGATGATAAAATTAGCAGCACAGGAGAGCACAAATGATCTGGCAGTACTGATAACTTTATACCTACTCTGACTAGTCTCAACTATCTGTTCAGACTCTTGGTCTTCTTTACAATGGTTAATCACATTTTAGAAGTTATAGTTTTCTCCTCCAGAGAGCATGAAATTGGCCTTTTGAATGTAAATGGTGGTATAGATAAAAATCAACTTAGCAGCACAAATGGGTGTTTACAATGATTTTTGCAGTTTTCCTTTCTTTGATTTCACACTACTGCTTTTCAGAATAGAAATTAATGTAGCTGCAAGCAATAAAATTATTTCATTATGAAGCGTAGGAAACAGCAGTGGCAAATTAACCTCAACACATATTTTTTTGTCAGAAAGATTCTCCAAAATGCCTTGATGCTATGGTCCTAAAAGAGGATTCTTGTAGATTATAAGGCTTTTAATTGAAATATGCTTGTCACAGATTGATTAAGGCAGTTCTAGAGGATGTGCCTGCAAACTACGCCACTGCTTTTAATACCACGTGTCCCTAAAATGATTCCTTACTGCTTACCCCACTCAAATTCACAGGATTGCACAGCTTGACACAGAGTAAAATTAAAGTTAATTAGGTGACGCCTGGCTATAAAAGGCAAACGTGATCATAAAACCTCAATAATGTACTACTAAAGTTGTCTAACAGAAACTGGAGATGAGGGAAGAGGAGAGAGAGATGGGAAAGGGGAAAGAAAGACGGGGAAAGGGAGAAGGAGAAAAAGAGAGAGAGAAGAAAAGGGAAAGAGAAAACTAAGTTCAGTGACACAGACTGTGAACCATTAGTGCCGTTTGTGTATGCCCCAAGTTACCAAGTACCCCTGAAGCTGCCAGGTGAACAAGAACTTTACTATTCTGCCCCATCAGCAAGCTCCCCAGCACGTACTTCATTTAGCATTAGTTGTACCTTAAGCACTTTGTACAAACGTGAAATGCAACATTTCTGATTCTCTTTCAGAAAGGAAGAGAGAACTGGCTGCCCTGCCGATGCTTCTGCAATCATTGTGAGCTCTAAAAAGAAGAAGCTAACGCTACCAAATTAGAAAGGCAGGATTTAAAAGCTGGTGATTGCCACAATGCCTCCTTTAAAAAGACTCCACCCATGGAATATCTTGTGCAGCTCTAAAATGGATCATCATTGTGCTGGGGAAACATTCAGAATTCTACCCTTTGACAGAAAAGTTCAGCTGTGCTAATTAAGGTTCACAGGTACCTCAAGGCTTTACATATTACTTATTTACATATTTTAGTGTGGAAACATAGTATTGCAGACATGACTGGTATCTTTATCACGCTGGAATGCATGTGTGCATGCAAGAGGGCAACAATGAAAGATTTCCAGCTTAAAATCTACCTTTGTTGAGTGCTTGATTTTGTGATCCTGATCCTGCAATTATATACTGCATTAGAAAGTAAAATCTACAGTAAATTAGAAAGAATTACTGCAGAAATGTACATACTGTATGGAATACTTGCATTGCCTAAGTTCCTTGCACTTCACTTGATTACCTGTCCTCTCTCTATTTCGGACAGAAAAGCACAATGAAAGAAATATGTGCTCACTCTGCCTTTTATTCTTTCATTGGGAAAAAAAATATTCTGTCTTAGCACTAATGTATTCCGCACAACTGTAAAGACTAAGGTATAATTTCTGTAGAAGACATCAAACTTAAAAACAATCAGGAGACGTTTCATTGAATCCATGTTCAGAGCTAAAATATGGCACATTTTTGGTTCATTTCTCTTTTTTCCTACTTGTAGTTTTCTCCTAACAAAATACATATTTTGAAATATGCAAGTCTATAAACCTACATGAACAAAATAACTTCCATATTCAAGCATTTTAAATAGCAGTTTATTTTAAATGAGAAATACTCAAAATCCACAGTTAATTCTGCAATTATGGGTTGAAAAAAATCTGATACTGACCAAGGAGCATGAAAATCTTGTCCCGTTTGTTTGGTTTTGTTTGTTTGTGGGATACTTACTTGGGTTTTGTTTTGTTTATGGAGTTTTTAAAAATTAATCTTGTGTATATTAAGGGGGAAAAAAATGGATGTTAATTTTCAGTTATATATGCATTTCTCCATGTTCATATTCACATTAGTTATTTAACACTATTGGCAAATTTAGAAGTTCCCATCACCTCTGAAACAACATATGCAAGAGTATATATGGAAGTTATATGTCTTTCAACTGTTGACTACAATAGCTTTGACACTTTCTGCTCTTCACACGTTCAGAGCAGTCTACCTGCTTGTTCTATCACAGAAGCAAAAAATGAAAGAAGATTTTGGAAAAAATGAAATAAGATTGGTTTAGACACTAACCTGGAATGCTACAGCTTCTGGCCTGCCCCTGAATGCTTCCTCTGGAAAGACCTCCAGCTGCAGCACGGGGAGCTGCAGATTTGTGGCTGAAGGATTTGATGCCAAGATCTCTTCTCTGAGCTAAAGGGAAAAAACCTAGCATCAGTGGTGATTCTCCTTCAAACACATTCACTGGGATGAACTGGTCCCCTTGAGCTGGTTGAGTGGACTTGCATCTACGACTGGGCCAAAAGTCCATGGATAAATTAAGAGTGATTAATTTTTCATTGCAAGTAACCTCTAATTCAGAATGCTGGGAGAGAATGCTACAAAAGCATCTTGCCCTGGTCTGAAATGAGAAAGACCAAAGACATGGCATATACAAATTAATGTATAAACACAGCACTTTTTGCATGACATCTGTTTCCCAAGTCTAAAAGAAGCCAGTATAAAGACGGAGGTTGCAGAAAAGAAATCTTATATCAGCACAATTTGTTTCAGATGAGACACATAGTTTACTTTCTGTCACTTTCAACAAAAGTTGAAGGAAACAGAGACTTGAAAAAGACATCCAAAAATTAAGTTAACCACAGTTTTGGAGAACACAGAAGCTAAAATAAATAATAAATTCCTCTGTTGCTAGGAATTAAAGATGTAGCGAGGGAAATTGATACTCCAAAGTAACAAAAACACTAATTTTTCTCTTTCTTCTGTGCTGCTCTAAATTAAAAACAGTTATAGAACAATCTGCCATTAGAGCTGTAGTTGAAAATAACCCTTTCTCCTAAAAAGTGTTTTTTTGGTTGGATTTTAAATAATCCTGTACCAGGGCAGAATGTCACAATTCAAAGAGACAACTTGAGATTATTACGAGATTTAAAATGCTCTTTTAAAAAAATATAATGAAAGTTTCTGACCACAGGTAATGACTTAGTGCCTTTTCKTTTCCTATTTATGACTTTTAAGAGGTTAAAGTAGCACATACAAAGCCAGATGTTTTATGGCCACTTTGTATGTGACCTCACCCTTCTCAGCAGAGTTAACTCCACAACAATTTGCCAGTTGTTTGGAAGTTCCATTAATCTTCACTTGGCAAATAGAAACAGGGCTTAGTCAGGGGAGGAAAAGGAGTATAGTCATAACTTCTACAATCAGAATAAGTTGTTTGTGCACTAGAAACTTGCATTTTATTTCACTGGGGTTTTTTAGGGTGGAAGAAGTTGATGGGGGATAACTTCAACTCTTAGGAAAGGAAGCTGCTTTTTAACAACTTCTCTCCTTCCCTGAGAATAAACAGGGAAGAATAAACAGAATAAAAGTTCTAAAGCTTTGGCTTGTTTGGAAACACAAATCAGGGGGAACACATCAAAGTCTTACCGCAATCATGGTGGCTTCCACAACTCTCATATCATTAATGAGCACCTCTTTGTCTCTGTTATAAAAGAAAAGGGAAAAAGACCAAGAACAACACAGTAAATTTATGGAACTGAAGCTCTACTAATGCAGAAATTAATGTTTTCCTACATTATTACTGTCATGTCTTGTAAAATAATTGTTGATAACTCAAACTGTTAGAWTTTTCCCTCTCTTTTTCGTATCTCCAGTTCTAAGTCTAAAAATAGTTGATATATCACTGTTTGGTGCATTTCTGTATGGAAGGTGCTTCTGTTGGGGATAAGAAATTAAAATTATGGAATTAGAGTCATATCAATGAACAACTATCATGTCTTGGAGATAAAGTGCATAAAAATACTCTAGCAGTATGATATTACATTCCTGTATTGGAAGACACTGACAGATTCTTTTTATTTCACCTTACTGTGCTTATATGTTCCAAAGCGAGAAAAAAAAAAAAACCCATCTGTTGTGAAGAGTTGCTGGAACAATGAAGGGAAGGGGAGTTTTCTTTGTTAATATTCAACTGCTATGTATGGAAAAAAGTGCCTGTTTTAAAACCACTTCACATTAAAATCACCTTTTCTGGCCATGGGAATGGACACAAGGAATGATCTTTACTTAAAGCGTGCAAAATAGATTGGGACAACATGAAAAGGGTCAAGCTTTCTAGATAGAACAACTCCTTCTTCAGGTCATATTTTCATTGATCCAATCATTCCAAATAACATTGGTCATTTTAATTAGCTTGTTAAACCTTTCCTTGAGAACTGTACGAATTACGTTATTTCCCTGGTGCATAAAACCGTTAAAGCGTCTCAGATATTGTTCTTCAGATGTTGAATGATCCCAGATATGATGAGAAATTTTAATAAACTAAGTTTTTTTTAAAAATCCTAGCCATGGACCAACCATATTCATATTACATATTCCATACTATGATAAGAATATTAGATAACAAAGTCTGCAATGATTTATCTTTTCATCTGACCATATGACTGTAACAATAGGTTGGTAATAAGCTATTGATGTCCAGGGAGCTCCTTTTGATTACCAATTCTTTCAAGACTGATGCCTGAACATTTCCTTCTACTCCAGGTAACGGTGTAAATGGTGTGGGGTTTAGGTCTAAATTCAAAACTYTCTGAAATCAGCTGAAAGATCTATCCTGTCCCACAGGCTAGACTGGGTCCAAAATGGGTTTCAGTCTCTTGGGCAGCTAAGATCTGTCACCTAGCTGATGCTTCTGTACTTACTCTAAATAAATTGTATTTCTCTATAAAAAGATGGCATGGAAACAGAGAACAAAAAAAACAAACAACCTTTCTTAAATAAACACAACTTTTAGGATCTGCCAAAGAGGTGTTGTCAGATTGGTAAGATATCATGGGTATTTTATTTGCCAGATATTTCAGCATTCAGAATTTTGAGCACTATTATGGAATAACTGCAGAGAACATATCACCAAGTATTTTGAACTAATGCTTTTCTTTTTAGAAGACTATCCCTGAATTTAAAAAACAAAGGGCAGACATACTTTTGTCTTCCAGCCTTATACTAGCCCGGTCTAAAAGTCTACCCATGGAAATAGGAATTGAACTTTTGGCCATTTTAAGTGATGTGCCCCAGGCCCCAGCGCTCACTTTGCTGCCCCCTGAAGGGCACGTTCTGACGCCTGGACAGTCGCCTGCAGCCGTTGCCGGTCCTCCTCCATGTGTTTCAGGAGACTCTTCTGGTGTTCCAGAAGTCGGTCCCTTCTCCTCAGCTCCTCTGTATCCTGGGAGGTGCTCTGCCAGCAGACAGACAGCAGAGTTACCCATCAGCCCAAGTAAACTTCACTATATGCCATTGGCTACTGACCAAAGTGGAACACAAATTGTGAAGTAGATGTGGACCACTGCAGACTAAGGTTTTATGAATTTCCTAGCCAAAACATTACTGACCCAGAACCCCGCTGTTTTTAGTATATTTGCTATGTACAAGTGTGGTTAAGAAAATAAGATTATTGTAGGCAAAAAAGGGAAAAATCATTAGTGAAGACTTTTTCTTAAATTTTTTAAAGCAAAACATCTAAAGCTCAAAAATAAACAAAAAGGTCTATGAGGTGTTTTCTGATCAGTCTAAAATTCCAGCAGAATGAGCAGTATGTGTGAATTTACTCCTGTTATTTTATTTACACACAGAGAGCACTATTTGGCTTATCAAACAAAAGATAAAATTCTGGTGACTATTTCAGAAAAATAACCTTACCCTCACAGATGCACTTAAGCGTTGGCTTTTCTCTGTCTCTTCTTCAGGGTGCATTTCCAGTCTTCTACTTAACTCCTGAAGCCTGTTCTCATGTTCTTGCAAAAGCAATCTTGCTTCATGCTCACGCTGTAAAGCATTGTGTAATTCCTCATGTACATTTTCTTGGCTGGTCATTCTCTGGAGAGAAAAATAGGTTTTGTCTGATTCTGTAACAATATGCACTGGTTTCCCTACCTGACTTTCTAATTTCCACGTGCAAACATACCAGATTCTAAGGAAATAACATGCTGAGGATGAATATTGAGGACTTTTAACATGAAGAGAGATCACTGAACAATAAAATGGCAGGCCAGTTTATTATTGTATGGTTTGTAAAAAACATTCATGCAAAGCCTTGGCATTCATTATTGTATTCAAATTAGCACCCTAGGATTCAAAACACCAATATTTAGAAGGAAAAATATGCAGATCAGTGTTTAGCACATTAGTGGATATCTTATTAATCTTTTAAACATCCCCCTGGATTCTTTCTCCCCTCCAAAAACTGTTTCAGAAAGAAGAAATAATTCTTCAAGAAAAATCATCATCTGCATTTAAATAACAGTCTAAACCATGACAATTTCATCTAACTATCCCAGAACTGTAAGGGAATAAAACCTGTTAAGAACAAAATTGAAGATKATTAGATATAACCTTGTTCATTTGAGTTCAAAAAAAATCCATTTTACCATCAGGAACAGGAAGAACAATGGGTGGGACATCATCTAGCAAATGCTCTGTGTTTGGAAGTGCTTGGACTGGAACACATTGAAGAGTTCTACCAACTAAGCTTCAGGTTTTGGGAACCCACAGTGTTTCAGTAAAACAATCAGCAAAAGTGGAAATTTGTGTATTTGTGGTGCTGAGAATGTAGGAGAGGCCTTTTTCTCACTGGCCAAAAACCTACCCCTTCAGGAAAACAGACCCACTAAAATTTGTATTTTATTAATTATAGCTTTATATTATAACATTCAGCAATATCCATACAGAGTTTAAATTGCTGTATATTTATACTTCATGAATTTCTCATGAAAATTCTTATTGAATAGCCTCATTTCAGATGACTTTACTCTGTCAAAGTGAAATCTTTTAGGATACTTAAATTACATCAATATTTCCAACAAGTGGAAGAACCTGGATTACTGAAGACCAAATTGTTTTTTATACAGAACACCCCCTATAAATCAAAAGAAAACTCCAGTGGAAAAGATGTATTTCTAAATAAATCTGACTTCTACTTTAGTGAAATTTACAAGGCAAGTTTTCTGGAAAATTCTACCAATAGTAAATCAATTTCATGCTTATTTTTCGAAAGAACTCAAATTTAAAAAATTGTGCAAAAAAGGAGAATCTCTTTTAAGCAAGAGAGTCTCTAAATCAAATATACTTACATGCTGAAGTACATGTAATTCCTCTTGCAGTTTGTGCGCTTTTTCAGCATCTTTTTTCATCTCATTGAATGCCCACTTGAATTCTGAAAGCTGCAGGTTCAGTGTGCGGCACTCTCCCTCTGCTGTATGAAGCCTTCTTGAAAGTTCAAATACTCGTTGCTGCAAGATTGCTATGATTCTCTGTCAGCAAACAGAAGCAAATTGATGTGCTATAAAACTTTTTATTTTAGCAATTAAATAAAACATATTTAATACTCAAGAAAATTTAGACAAAACAATAATTTATTCCTCCATCTCTAAAAGACATAGACAAGGGCAAAAGTTTGAACCTACTTTTTCATCTACCAAGGGTTACTGCAAATTCTGTATACAAGGAAGTTCCATTTTCACCTAAAATCTACAATAAAATATTATGAAAGGGTTTATCCTTTCATTTTGATTAAAAGAAAGAAGGTTATCTTTACTGAAAGAAAGGATGGTAAACACGAGAAAATAGTAATGAAAAAGAACCTTAACTATTACATCAAGACAAAAGCAAATTTGTTCTTATAAGCTAACACAATTCTGAATAGAAGTTGAAAAAAATCTTCTGCTTGGATACAGTAAATCTCTTCCAAAAATTCTTTGTCAATAAGAGAAAAGATCTCTTCACACCCTAATGTGTGACAAATCAACTTCTGAGTGTCCATATGGATGTGCTTCGCTGTCATGATTCATAACTAGCATAAAGGAAAAAAAAAGGTGCTATCAAGAGAGCTTCGCTGTTACTGGGAATCTTCTGTTTCCATGAAGGAGGACTGTAAATCTGCCTACCGTGCTGGGTTGTCTGTCATATGATCCTGCTTCCAGGGCCTGAGTAGTCACTCTTAGGAGCCCACAAGCCAGTCTTTGTACCAGGGAGTCCCTCTCCAGGAAAACAATGCACCTGCATTGGTTCACTTGAACTGTCTCCATCATTGTGGTCAGACTGTCCATCAGTCTTGCAAAGGAGTTCCTGGCTGCACTGACAAGTGAGTGCCCAGAAAGCCAGGAGTTTGGATCTTTAAGAAAACAATGACAAAAAGGAAACATCAAGCAGGTTATTAGTTCCACTTTTTTGTAACATGCAATTCTTTTTCATGATACAGGGTGGAAACTATAAATATTCTGAATATCAGACCTGAAATACAATACAAACTTTGCTTTGTTGCTATGCGAAGTCAAGTTACTGTAAACATCATGATCAAAGAAGAAAACACCTGAAACTGAATCAAAATACTCTTGATTCAATGGCAACTTCTGCATCAATTTAATGTTTTGCCTTCTGGGATATACATCACCTCATCTCTGTCCCACTGCTTCATATAAATTAATGAATTCATATAAATTATTGCCCCTCTTATATCCTTTCTTCTGTGACAGAAATGTTGAGACATTAAAACTACAAGTTAACAAAGAACCAGGGATGGCAGCAATGCAGATGAAGCAAGGGAACCTATATCAGTTCTTGCTGCAAATGAACTCCAGAAGCACTCCACAGCCATCTGCTTCCATGGCTCTAGATACCAAAAAGATAAAATATCCTATCACCCATTAAAAATAAAAATTAATTTGTTCCAATAGTACAAAGACATGGTCTTTCAGAGATTGTGGAAGAGGGTTATTATTTCCCTCAGCCATAAACTTACTCCTTCAGGGAAACAGCTCCACTAAAATTTGTATTGACTAGATCAGGATATAACCCCTAGTCAGAGATCTATAACATTCAGCAGTATCACTTTAGAGATAAGACACAGATAGTTTGGAAAAAATCCTAAAAATGGAAACGATGTAACCACCCTGATTTATTTTTTAAATATATTTTTGCTGCAATAATATACCGTTAAAATTACCTGGTCTGTTAAGAACCTCCTGCAGTTCAGAGATGGATTCAATTACTGCAGTATAGAGGTTAGAGCTAGTCAGCCAGTCAAGTGCTTCAATGCAGTCAACTCCTTCCTCTTCAAAGCCTGTGAAAGAGAATTTTTCTAGATCAGTCTTCTAGATTGCAATACACTTTTTATACCATTTATCCTTGTAGGAGAAAGCATAAACTGATGTGGCAACAGAAAGGGACAAGGAGACATAATCTCTTAAAAAAATTTAGAAGCCCGATGCTAATATTTTACCTGAATCAGAAAGCAAATTTTTTCAGTTTTTAGTAGGAAATAAAAATTTTAAAAAAAAAAAAAAAAAAAAAAACTAAAAAAAAAAAAAAAAAAAAAAAAAGTTGATAGGTAATCATTAAGGGACATTGCAAGAGGATGCAGTAGCACCTAGTTCTGAATTCCATAACACAAATATCAAGGATATCAGATGGTGTGATAGTGTGCAGTTGCAACTTTACTTGCAATGCTTAACAGACTAGGCGTTTCCTCTTAGAGTGAAATGTATTTACCAAAAAACATTAAAAAACCAATAAATCCATAAATAATAGTTGTCAAAATATCATTCAACATGTCTTTATACCCAAGTAGTAATAATAATAATAATAATAATAATAATAATAATAATAATAATAATAATAATAATCTTTGTTATTCACTAACCATGTAATTTGACACCATATTTTGAAAACAATTCACTTACGTGACACATTACGCCTGCCCCGGGATTCTCCTACACAAACTTGAATTCCAATGCTTGCTCTTGAGCTGCTTGTCCAGACGAAAAGGGAACAAGAATACCGGGCCAGAAGCCTAAACCTGTTAGCTGCCAAGACTGCAACCACAGATCTCCGGAACGTATAAACCAGCTCTCTGGTTCTCCTCTGCCTCAGCCTTATTTCATCTTGACTGTTTTCTGGGTTGGTGGGGAGAGTCTGAAGGATGCTCCTGATGTTCTGGTTCACTAATTCATGGAGGTTCACCTGTCCCTGCAGAAGGTCTCTTTGGGAAGACATGGCACACAATCGGCTGTAGAGAGGAAACAGGGCCCCTGACAGCAGTGCACAGGCTGCCAGCAGAGATGAACGCTCCTTCTGAGTGCTTGTTAACATATTTCTCAAAGACATATTTTCGTTGGTCAGTTTCTCACAGCTTTTTTCAAAGTCTTGTAATTTTTGCCTGTTTCTCTGTGTTGTTTCTTCACAATCCTGTTAAAGAAATTAAAAAAAAACAAAAACAAACCAAACAAAAACAGGAGAAATATTAACTTGATTACTTTTACCTAGACGGAAGCTAAAGGAAATTTGTTGGTTTTCCCATTTAAATAATGCATTAAAGGAGCAAAAATTGTTAGTAATTACAATGAAGAAAGTTGCTTTTCTAGTAAACAGTTACAGAATCAGATACATGAAACCAAATCAATAATATGAGAAAAACTTGCATGATCATCAACTGCAAATGGATTCCTGATTTCTGACAACAATCCACCAATACTGTGATATCCCACAGAAAGTCCAACAGCACCTGTCTGCCCACAGTACTGTTTGCTGGGCTGACTTAACAATAGTAATTACATCCCCCAATTTCAAAAAAAAATGTTTCTCTACCAATTAGAAAGGAAGTCATTATAAATGCAAAGAAAAAAAGTAAGGAAGGCTGGAATGTGAAACTAGACAGATTAAATATATTTTTCTGCATGCAAAGACTCCCAGTCCCAAAATCTCCATCAAATACAGCATTATTCAGATGAAGTTAGCTGCAGTAAGTCACAAATAACAAGGCACATCTGTTCACACTTCTAATGCAAACAGGTTTGAAGGAGTGTGATGGTAAAGACAGTGAATGGTGGTTGTGGAATAACAATGAATATTTTGGATTGCAAATAACTCGTCTGACAAGCMATGGTGACAGTTTTAATTTCTGAACCACTTCCTGCTGTAATATYAGTAAAACAGAGTTGCTTAACACCGCTGAAATCTATCATTGTTCTTAGGTCAGAACATTTATAACTAACTAAATTTATCTTCAGGTGACACCACATCACCATAACTCTGCACAATCTTTGCAAATCATGATGCTGAAAAWGTAGCTGCTGCTGATTTAATAATTATTAAAATAAGCAAATGTGATCTCACAGCTTTAACCTTCTCAGATAAATAATTAAAAAATTAGCAGCAGTAGACCAAATTCTCTTCATAATGCTTTAGCAAAGTCATTTATTTCTTATTATAGGTTATGTTGATATTAACATGGTGGTGGGTTGGCTAGATWTTTTTTCAACTTTAAAAATATACTAAAATTCCCAAATGATCTTTAACTATTAAGGGACTTAAACAACTGAAATAACTCATGAAATATTTACACAAAAAAAAAATAATTTGAAGTTCACAGCACCACACCTGTGCTCTTGCTTGAGCTTCTGCAAGGAGATTTGCATACTGCTGTTCAAGAAACTTCTTTTCTTTATGCCAGCAGTGTTCCTGTGTTTTCAACTGTTCAGACATTTTCTCAAAGGCTTCCTCCTGGCTCTGCTGAAGATCCCTCATAGTATCAGTCTTGTGCTTGCAAACATGTTCAAGGTGAGCTATCTGTGTGACAAGCATTTAAAAAAWATATTATTTACCTTTTCATTATAAGTTAAGCACAGACTATTCCAGCACAAAAATCTAAATTGTAATTTCTTAAACATGTTTATTAAAACTAAGTGAAAGCCTTTCATGACAGATTAATTACTTGGATCTTGAAACAAAACTGAAATATATTTTGAAATACAGTATGTTATTTGTTTCAGTTTTAGCATCCTTATACTACGTTGCAGATATTTGTCATCTCCTTTATACAAAACACAAACCAGACACTTCAATTTTTTTTWAACAATTGCATTAAATTTTAGTAAATTAGTAATACAAGTATACCAGTCCTTTAGAAGTTTGTGATGATTGCAAACAATTATCAAAAAATGGCCTTTGTTGGGGTTTCTTCTGTTTGTTTGTTTGTGCAGGGCTTTTTTTTTTTATTGAAAAACCAAGACATTCCAGATTATTATTAAGCATTAAAACAATATCAGGAAATTCTAACACATGGAATTATTTTCTTAGGAGTAGTTGATAAATTTGTAATGTGTTTTCRAAAAGCATGAAGGAACTCATCTTTCTGGTTTAACACGGTCACCTCCGCTGCAAACTAAATGGAAGAATGAATCTCTCAATGCACACACCTGCATTCACTTTGTTACTTGAAAAGTAAAGCAACATGCTTCCAGACAGATCACACAGAACTGCAGGAGAAAGAGTTTGTAGGACATGGTCTAAAAWTTCAGAAAATCTGCTAAGTACATGAGAAGAGCCCTTGAGACCGCATAATCAATCTCAATAACAACACTTAATTAAAAAGCAAGAAACAATAAGACACAAGMCCCACAAACACTACCAACAAAATTCACCCCCTTCCTTTTCATTCCCTATCCTCTTCTACTTCAAAAGTGAGATAAACCAGAACATAAAATGAAATCCCAAAGAGTGGCATACTTTTTCTCTGGAGCCAGCTGACTTACTGAAAAAGAGGTTTTTCCTTCCTAAGACCACAAAGATTTCTGGAGAGAAAGGCCACACCAGCTCACTTACATTAAAACCACTCAGAAAAGGACAGATCCTCCTTGAGGCTCCAAATATTGACATGTTTTATAATAGAAGTTTCCTGTTGTGTTTCTGAATACAAATGTCATAATCCAAAATTTACAATAAAACAAAAAAAAATTCTTCCACACTGCCATTCTTTCAAACAGTACATCTGAATCATAAACATATAACTTAAAGATGGTATTCCTGAAGTAAATGTATTTTACCTCTGAATTACAGTACAATACAGACTTGCTTTATGACTGTAAATGACTACATTCTTTGAATTTGTCCAGCAGTAAGATGAATTTATTTTCTTTTAATTAGATCTCTGTGGCTAATGTTGGATAATTCTATYGAGTGTCCTGCACAGAAAGTGGAGCTGGGCGACTTCATGCACACTCCAGACACATTCAAATGCCCACAGAAACAGCATCAAACAGAGCAGTGGACAGGCCATAATTAATGGTATTGATTTATTAACTCCAAATCATATTTGAGAGAGGAATATGAGACCTTTTTAATGAGACTGCAACATGGACAAACGTCACTGAACTCAACAGAGGCGGGTGGCACCTGGGGGTACTCACCTTCTCATTAGCCTTGTGGAAGCTCACAATCAAAGCTTCAACATTCTCATGCAAAAGTGCACAAAACTCTGTCCAGGGCAACCCCTCCAGGGCACCTTCTGGCTGTTTGACAAGCACATGGCCATCTGCCATGCGCTGGTATAAGCTGAGGAGGATGTGTAGCGCCTCCTGGAAAAAAGAAAAAGAAAAATTAGTTGTTCAGTCTGAGCAATGTTAAAGTCGAAAGAGATGTGTGGCATGTGTAGTTGTGGGTGCTGCATGCAGTTGAAAAAAGGTCCAGAAAGCTCATTGTCRGAGTTTCACATAATTAATTTCTAATAATTGCAGTCGTGATACTGAATAAATTTACAGCAGAGTAAGGAAACAGATTTTACAAAATTTATCTGATTAGACACGGTATGTAAATAAAATACGTAAATAAATCCCAGCCCTGCAGGGGTCACAACCAAGACCTGACAGAGATAAAAATATCCATCCTCTTAATGGATGCAATTCATTCATCCATATTAATACTTTCAGGGGCATTCAAATTGTGCCCACTTCCGACACCTTCACAGCACACAGAAAATTGTCCAGTTGGCTTGGCAGCACAATACACTCTATTTTTAAAAAAATTTTGGTTTGTGTGGATTATATATGATGAAATAGCTGGCCAAAACAGGTCTAAAGCTCCATCACAGTCAAATTTCACAAGCCATGCCTCATTCATTTACACTACTTCTAATTAGTGGCATAAGAAATGGATTATTCATTATAATCATGAAGAATGGGGTTTTTTAATAATAYGTTTTATTATTTATTAGGTTGAAAATAAATTTTAGCAGCAATAGTGCACAATAAACATTCAAACCTTCATACTTTTAGAATATACAAGTAGCTTAGAAGCTTTGATTAAAATAACAGAAAGCTGTATCTCAAATGCCATGAGAACAAGGTATGTTAAACACTGCGCAGTGAGAAATCAACGTAATATTACCAGATTGGATTGGAAAGAACATATTCAGGGTGTCTACAAGTCACATAAAATAGAAAAAAGTAATGTATAGGTCAGGGAAGCAGGAAGGGAAAATGAMGGGAAGAGAACACACTGACATTTTCACAGAATTTTATCATGGGTATAGTGAAGAACTACAGCAGGATATTAAAAGTTATTGGCACTTATTTTCTGCTGCGGTCTTCCATTTTCTCATTTTGGGAAGCAAAATCAAAGCTGTCTAATGGAGTAAACAGCACCCCATGGAGGCACTCCTCCTTTCCAACTGAATACAAAAACCATTGGGAAAAATTCAAAGCCATTTAAGGCAATAAATACTTAATCTCATAARGGTGCAGCTAATAACACTTTTCCAAAATTGAGTATTTTTATTACCTGTTCAGAACAGTCCTGTCATTTGAAATCATTTGAGTAAAACAATTAAAACAAGCAGCTCCATGAATATGACAGTGAGACAATCCTTTTGTTTTTAACCTTTCACTAATATATCATTATTTTTGAATACACTATTAAATATTGTTTYCATTACCAGAAACCTTGATTGTAAAGAGAATTTTGTCCTGAATTTTTGTCTGGTAAAATATACATTTTACTAAGGAATACAAATACAAAAGAAAAGCTCTTTTAACAGCAACAGCTAGCAAGTACTTAAGGTTCCTAGTAGAACATTTTCAGCTTGTAATTACATTTTGTAGTTATAAATAGCAATCATTACTGTCTGTAGTTAGGGCAGTCATTTTTATCTCTTTGTATTTCTTTTGTGTCCACTGAAATTACTTTTTCAGGCTAACTAGGCCAGCAAATGTCTTTTAATACGTTAATGCTTGYGTGAAAAAAAAGTTTTTATTCTCCCAGAAGGAAAAAAGAGGACTATGACTTTWTTTTTCTTCAATTTATTAATTACAAATCTACCTGGGCAGTGGATAWCAGTAAGACAAAGTGTGGGATTACTCCATCAACTGAACAAAAGACACMCAAAAATTTGAAGACCCTCTGAAGAAAGTTTCTGTGGCTGTCAGCAGGGAACAGATCATATTTACCTTCTGTACTCAGAGATCATAGAGAAAAAGAGGAGAAAGGGACAAGCCAGCAYCAAAAAGGTTTTCATTTCTAAGAGCAGAAATACAGCAAGGGCTACCACYCAATGAAAGCACAGATTTTCCAGATATGCTAAGATCTTTTCTTTGGTCCCTGCTGCTGTGCAAAAAGATGGCAAAATCATTACAAGAAGTGTAGTTGGGTAAAGACAGTAGAAAGATTAAAGTGGTCAKGTAAGAGGAAAAATATTTCAGAAAATAATCCAGTAAAATACATCCAATGTGCCAAATCCACAGCAAAACAAGAAAACAAATAAACCAACTACCAAAAAAACCCTCTGTTTTGCCACCTCCAAAAGACCAATTTTCAAGCAATTTTTTACAGTCAAATGCTCACACTAAAACCAGAAGGTYGTATGAAATAAAAATTAATATTTCTTCAAGGGTGGTTAATAAAACTTGCCAAAAAAGTTTGGGTAGAAAGACAGAACATTCTTCACAATAGATCATATTCCATATCTACAAAATGCTGTCTTGATTAGGAATAGAAGTGCAACTTACCCACATTTTAAAAATAACTGTCTCCTGCAAGCAACTSTTCAGCAAAATACAAACCATATACTTAAAAACATTTTCAAATCATCTTCTCTAAGGTATTGGCTACATTTTTTTATATTTTAAATTATAAGGAAAGTAACATAACAAACAGGGTAAGGGAGTGGCAGAGCTCTTCCACAGCTCAGTGCACTAAGAATTGACAGAGTATGTTTAAAAACCCTTAAACAATGAGTGCCATAGGATTCCTTTTCCTTACCACTGGGCCTTCTTGCAGTGCTTGGCTGAAGCAGGTTTGGACAATCTCTCCTCTCCCAGGAGACTCTCCAATTGCCTTCTCCTCTGGTCCCTGTCCCCCTTGTGCATTTGAGGACAAAATCTGTCTCTGTAAACTGGAAAGTTTCCACAACAAGACGTTTTAATCAAAATTACATTTATCAAGTGCACTATATGCTTTTAAACGATAATCAATCAATATGGCAGATAACACACTGGCTTCTGAAGTTCCTTGCCTTGTTTTATTAAATGAAGAAACACATATTCCCTCTAAGAAAGACYTTTCAAATGGTTGTGTTCTCAGTTACCAAGCCTTGTGTCATGAAATTAAACTGATTATTTGGATAAGGCTTCTAAATTACATACAACAAACAGAATTAATAATGTTTTAATTAACACAATAGCTCTCTTCAGAAATACCATGTCATGTCTTACATAATCAACTGTGATCTCAAGTACASTTCTTGAATTTAAGGTTTCCACATGCCTAGTTAAATTCTGACATGAATTAGAAAGCAGACTAGTCAGAAATTGAATAAATTAGTGTTCTGCATCAGTCAAGAAAACAGATATATCAAAAGCCTGGCATGGCAAAGTAGGCAACTGATGAGAAAACTGAGCCAAAACAACAGCATAAAGGAGACAGAAGCAAAGAAAAAAATCCAAGGAAGAATCTTAAAAATATTGTCTGAATATGAGGTCATGAAACCCAAAGCTCACTTAAAATTGCCAAAGTCTGACAAAAGTTTTTCTAACACAAGTGAAGTTTTAAGCATCTTACTAAAAACATCTCCACAACCGTGAATCTTCAGGCCACAAACTTCGTTTCTTGTAGGAAAACCGAGAAAGTTGGAAARAAAGGAAAGCCAAGTTTTTTCTCCACTACTGACTTACCACTTGTGTGAGTCAACATAAACACCCGTGTATAGGACTCATACAGTCCTGGGTTGAAAGAGATGTCGGTTGTATTCTGTTACTACAGACACAGCAGATTGTGCTGCACAGGAAATGTAGCCCAATAAATTTTATCTGGTCTCACATATTTCAATTTTTTTTTCCCAATTAAAGCTTTCTACAATCATCCAAGAAATCAAAACAATGATTAAGCACTACAAATGATATAGAAATTTTTGACAGGAATTTTAGAGATTCTTCTGGCTCACTGAAGTGTAAAATGATGTTTTCACMATGATTAAGTATATGTAGAAAAGCTCTCTTTCCAAAACCTGCCAGATATGTTTTCCTACACTCACCCCAACCACAACTGGAGGYTGGACCCTATCATATGTATGACTTTCAGCATTTTTGCTTTGGCAAATCTGCATCAGATCAGGTATTTTCTGTATCATTAACAATACTTTTTGTTACCGATACAGACCTATTATTAATTGACTGTGGGGTTCAGAACCTTTGATCTGGTTTGAAAAATTGCGCTATTTGGCAATGTGTGGTTTGGTTTGGCAAATTGTGGTTTTCTGCTGACTGAAAATTGTAGAGAATGTAAACTATAAGTTGTACTCAAACTGTCTACTGACATTTTATAATGGCTTTAAAGGGAACTTACACAGCTTTTTCTCTTTCATGTGCATTTTCTGACTCTCTGAAGTCTTTCTTCATATTTTCTAATACAGAAAGGGCTTCCATCCTGTCGGCTTTGTCTGAAGTCAAAGCATCTTCAAGTTCTCGAAATCTTAACTACCAAGTGATAAGAAACCAGTTAATGGAAGTTAGGAAGAACTATCATGATCTTTAATGCTGTACATTGTTCTGTTATGCTTTTTACAAGTAAATGTATTCTATTAATTCTATATGGAATTAGAAAGCATTGAACACAGGTAAAAATGTATTAATACACAGAATTCACAAKAAAGAGAAATAGATAGGCAGACCAAAAGCACTTTTAGCTCACCTTTTATGATGTTTGGATTTTCCTGTTTTCAATTATTTATAATACTGAAGTTTTCTAGGGAAATTCTGTTTTTTTTTAAGTAGACTTTTTAAGTGAAAATGTGGGATTAACAGTAAAAGCTACACTTCCACTCAAGAAAAAGCACACGTGGAGCATGTTCATGTACATAAACAAGGAAGAAAACCTTTCCAGTTCTTCACTATAAAAGACAAATCTCTAACTTCAAGGAATGTTACMGTCCCAGTTCCTTTGCATATTGTAGAGAGGGAATCAAGAAAACTAAATCATCTGCTTATTTAATCATCACCTCAGAAACCTAGGTGCCTGTACTTGGAGAAGTTTGTAAGAAAATAACTGACTGAAGAAACAGCAATTCCTCTGTTTGTTCCTCAGGGGGGAAAAAAAATGCGGAGGGGGAAAGAAATTTCTTTCCATTTTCTCACTTAGTTTTTCAAATGTCTGGTGTGTTACTGAGTAAAAGATCACTCAGCAATCATCAWATACATTTTTCACACTTGTTTTTTGAAATAAACCCAAATTGCACTGGACCAAACCCTGTGTGTTGCAGTTCAATAATGCAAGAATTTAACATTCTAGTACACATGTTACATTTTTTGAGATAATCAAACTTGACTGGTGACTGCAGATATCATAGCTTTGAAGTTGAAATGTACACTGAATAATTATATTCGGAACTGCAGTCTCAGGATGCATTAATCTATCACTCCCAGACAAGTTGGATGTATGCTTTGTATCTCCAAGATTATCCTGTAAGTGCCCATTCCAAAGATACAGGGCAGGATGTTTTAACAGTAGTACACAGTTTAACTGTTGTGAAACATTTCCTTTCCCATCACTGTTTAAATGCTGCTTTGAATTCTCGAAGGTAAGAATGTGACATTTAATTTTATTATTTATTCTAATAATTTGAAAGTTCCTTGGGGAGGGGAATGTATTTTTCTATTATCTATTACAATTTTGACAGTCAGTGCAAAAAATCTACCCAGTGTTTTCACTGAAGCAAATAAGTGGTCTTCATATTTTTGGAATATTGTACCTTTATGAGTTCATTTTGTGTTTTACTGTAAACTTYTACAAAATATTAAACAAAAAGTTTACCTGCATGACTTCTGAAGTGTGTTTACTTTGAAAACATGGTGCTGATTCAGTTCTCGTTGTAGCTACCTAAAAGTGCATTTTGAAAATATCTAAGTCCAGAAAGATGATAACACTACACAAAGACAAATTTATTTGTTCAGTATACTGGGTCTCCATACACCTGTTGTATCTGAACTACTTGCACTTTGGAACTGTAAAAACTCATACCAATAAAGAGATAAAAATAGATGTTTATTATTATTATTATTATTATTATTATTATTATTATTATCATCATCATCATCATCATCATCATCATCATCATCATCATCATCAATAACAATAACAATAACAGTAACAATAGCAATGATAATGATAATAACAACAACAACAATAACATATACAGAATAATAAAATAATATTTTCTGCTTTGTTAAAAAAATTAATATAGGATTATGTCATTGCTGCATTTTTTGTAATCACAGATACCTATGTCAAGATAAAGGCCTGCACACAGAATTTCAGTTGAAAAAAATGGTTTTTGCAAAAGCAGTAACTGTAGAACTGCTACAATAAAAATTCATATGCAATTTTCTATAAAAAATACTTTTACTTTGACTGATGACTGAATTGAAAAGAAAAATGCACCCCAAAATGACTYCTGACTTCAAGTGATATCACAAAGAACAAGAAAAAGATGTTAATATTAAAAGCAATTGAAGACAAACTCATTTAAGGTTACATAGATACAAGTGAAGTATATTGATTTTGGAAAAGTAAAGCAAAGTAGCAAGTATATGAGACTGAATCTTTAAGCACTTCAGTGAGAAAAACATGAACATAAAAATAAATAAATAAATAAATAAACCCTTTCAAATAAAAGCTACTGGCAATAAATGCAAACTTTGCCTAATCTCACACATGCACAAAACAAAATACTTTAGAAACAGACATCCAAGGAAAGACGAAGTCTGCAACAGCACAGAGCTTACCAAACCTTCACAACGTTGGCCAAAAGACTTAAACTTTGTATCTCCCACAAGACTTAGCTTCTTAATATACTTTATTTAAAAACAAAGAATCAMAAATCTTGCACAAAAACTCCCCCTGTATTACCATACTGCTAGGAGCATTTTCACAGTGATATAAACCTTTTTCCCATCTGCTGTCTAAACAGTGAGGCTCACAGTGTGAACAGAACTCACCTGCAAATCCACCTTTCCAGCAAAACACACGCTCCACATTTTGTGAATCACACGCAAGGCACTCACAGCCTAACTCGGAGGATCCACCCCTCAAAAATGAAGCTGCTCAAGGTGCCAGCAAGACTCCCAGCAGCAGTGAGGAAGCCTTACCTCCAGATCCCTCATGAGCCTCCCCTGCCGCTCACACTTGAACTCCAGCTGGTTGGCCTGCAGCCTCAGCATCTCGCTGCAGCCGTCGTATTCCGTCTCCATCTCCCTCAGCTTCCTGCGCGCATTTTGCAGGGCGGCGTTCATTTCCTAGGGATAAACAGGTGAATGGATAAATAAATGCACCAAGAGGTACTTTTTCTAAGATTAGAGTTCAACAGAGGAGGGAAGACTGCATCAGAGGAGGTTGTTAGTATCTTAGWATCTCAGATTCCAGCACATGCCAACAGAAGTGTTTGTTTAACAGCAGACACACTCCTCATTCACCCCCAGGTAATCTATATTGATCCAAAAATCATTGTGAACATGACAATAAAATCAGAGCCAGGTCTCTGCGGGAAATCTTTTCCTGAAAGAGTAATGCCCTTCTAATCCCTTCTCTCTCTGTTTAGTTGCCATGATAGACACAACTAGGGGTGCATCTGGTAAAAAGGTACATAGGGAACAAAAGTTCAATTTTGTTCTAATTTTAATTGCTAGAACTTCAAATTAGATGTTTTTGGAAGCTGTTACTCCCATAGACTGAATAATTTTAATTTCTCTTATTCTGAATAGGGTTTCCTTCTGCCTAGAAACTGAACTATTTAAATTTTTTTTCTACATGAACTATGAAGTTCTCACTTCAATGAAATAACTAAGCTGGCCCCCACTTTGATTTCTGCATGCAGGAATTGAACTAAGCGAGAGGTTGGCATAATTACTGACAATATTGGACTCGGCAGTTCTGTGGAGCCACTGCAACAAAATCCCCACAGTCCATATGTGTATGGACTAAATTTAAGGTAGTCCTCTAGTTTTGCATGTACAGCGAGTCAATGAACAGGTTTCTTCACATCAGAATGAAAACCAATAAATAAATAAATAAATAAATGAAATTAAAGTTAAGAATTAAACCAAAATTAATAATTTGTACAGAAATACGCACCCAGTAAGATACAGAAATAGATATAGAAATACTTATTTCTTCAGGTTTATCTTCCAGATATTAACAAAAGTGCACTGGGAAATGTGAATGAGTAGCAGATAGTTTGCTGTAAATATATAAAGACCTGAAACCATTTTATATTGGAAATATAGTTAACATTAGCAAACTAAAGCTGTCATTAATACAGCAAGCTTATAATGAGCTGTAGATTTTTAGAATCTTGACATCTCTGAACTTTTCAGTCATGTGTCACTGTTTAATGCTATCCCAGTAGTCTCCTGCAAGTATTTCCTCATGAAAAACGTGGTTTGTCTTTTTTTTTTTTCAAATTTCTTTCTCTTTTTTTCTTTTTTTTTTTTTTTTTTTTTTTTTTTTTTTTTTTTTAACCGTGTGTAAACACACAATCTCACAAGTATTCTAATTTTTTAAAAACGAGAAGAAATTTGATCTCCTGCCTAACCACGAGGTGATGCTGTTGCCCTTCTTACTGAACTCCAAAACCTCCTATCCCGAACAGGGATGCACCCAACGAGGTATTTTTTATTACAAACCTGTCACAAAGCAGAGAGGGCGGCTTTTCCCGCCGGTCTCAAAAACACAATTCAGTACTCTAAGGTGACTGCATGCCTATCTCAGTATTTTCACAGATAAATTCAGAACTACAGTTCATGAAGTGGGGTTTTCCCAGCCAGGATTTGCCTACTACATGCTCAGAATGACACTTCTCTCTGCACATATTAAGACCACAATCAAACCTCTCAATCTGTCATTTCATAAATCAGAGTAACTACAGAAGATTTAAACCAGGCTTGTAAATACACAGCACAAAAGACTGAAACACATTTGGAGTCATAATTTGAAAACTYAGATATTTCTGATGTTTGTCTGACAAGTTTAAATGAATTAAGTGGTCAAGTTCACATTTAACACTTTTTATTTCCTGGAATTTTATAACTGTACATAGCATAACTGTAGGGTGATGGGCAGATTGACAGCTGCAAAAGCAAAGTGGGAGAAGTGAATGTTCCTACTATTGAAACTGGGTTATGGTTTGACCATTAATAATGAATCACATTTTCTTGTCAGAGACTTCTGAAAATTTGGAAGGAGTTCTGAGTTCAGAGACTTCAAAATTCAGAGATCCTGCAGCTCAGGCTGGCTTGTTCAACAAGCTTGATGTATCCATGACAATTTTAATCTGCTCATGTTAATTACATTTCGAATTATTTTGTAGCTTTAATAAAATCCCCAACAAAACACCTTCCTCTACATGCACTGACAGGGAATACTGACAGGGAACTGACAGGGAACACAATGTCCCAAGCCATCCACTACTCCTTTTTTTGTTTTATAAGGACAAACATCACAAGAGAATTTTTCAACCCTTTGGATGCAGTATTAAACTCTCTGAAAAAAAGCTTCTACAAAACACTGTACACAGCCGAAGGCAAGACCCTTCCAGAACCCACTCAACCTAACTCAGCCTATTTACTGTTAGACAGAACTCAGAGCTTACTCAGCTTTACCTGGCAACTTAAAAAAGAAAACTATACCTAAAATTAGGTTTCTTCACAGCCTATATCCAGCCCTGATTTTTAAGAATCRGCTTTAAGCAAAACCTCACTTGTGACATTTTGAGAAGGTTATCCCCTGTCCCTGCACTCCTCTATTTTTCACAAACACTGTACTGATAAGCTGGTTTAAGTGTTTACCATGACAAACAGCCACAATTTATCCCATCAAAGCCCAAAACCAGACACACTGAATGTGACTTTGTGAAGCTATACTCCTCAGAACTGTTTTGTGATATTTAACTATTTGGGGGATTTTTTAATTCCTCCAAATCAGAGACACCCTGACCCACCGCACCCTTTGCACCAAAAAAAAGTTCCAACCAGCATCTCATGGAACTTTCAATTTAATAATACATCATACCTCAAAAGCCCTTTCTGTTTCAGTTTTTTCTTTGATAAGGACTACCATTTCAGCATGGTACATTTTGCGGATGTCATCCCTCTCCCTTGAAATTCTTCGCTGTTCTTCTTCCCACTGCTGCTGAGCACTTTGAAACATTTTCTCAGTCTCTGCTGCTTTCTGCTGATGTTTGTCACTGAGTACTATTGTTTAAAATAAATAGAGAAAGAGAAAAAGACAAATAGCACTGCAAATAAACGTGTTCAGAAAAACAAGAACTATAATGAACATAAGCTCTTTTGTGTATTGTGATATCCAGTGAAACACTGGAACATTGACAGAGAATCAGATTTTGTGTTCCTATTGCACCTTTCTCACAAGGACATAGAAAAGCTTTGGAGACTTTTACAAATTTAAGTTCTCTTCCTTCTTGGAAAAGAATGAAAACTCAAGTTAACTCTTTCAAATGAGGCGTCTACGGCAGGGGGAACTTAATTGCCTTTTCCTGCAACACTTGGCTAGCTTATTTCCAAATACCTATTTGATATATTAGTCTGCATCGATCAATTTCCAGCACAGTTTAAGTAAAAGTAAAGACATACACCTGCCACGTGAAAAAGACATAAGGCAGGTTAGGCTAGCGAGCAAAGGCTTGGCTTTTCTGGGGAAATTTACTGCAGCTCRAGAGATTTAAATCTTTAGCCCAGCAAATGTCCCGAGATGGGCAAATACTGCATATACTCCTCTGTGAAAGCCTAARTGCCAAGGAAAACTTCCTTTCCTATAAGCAGTTCTTTTAGGAACTTTGCTTTGTTTCACAAACTGGCTTTTGGATAAAAACATTTTGTATTGGTTTTATTGTTACCGAATAGAGCTAACAATGTTGGCATTTATATGATCACTAATTTCTAGCAGATTTTTACTTCAAATTCATCTCATTCTCCTGAAATTTCTTTCTAGCTGGAGAAGGATGAAACAGAGAAGACACATTAAAAAACCACAAAGAATCAGTGGACACAGTGATAGGGAGGACAGATGCCAGGAAGTCAGGCCTCAATAAGAGCAGCAGGAAAACAGTTCAGAGGAAATATTAAAACAGGGCATAAAGGAGATGCTCTGTCCAAGAAACTAAGTTGGGATCACATCACAGCATCACACAGGGTGAGAAAGGCTCCAACGGACCAGGAAAAGGAGACAACAAGTTAAAAACTGCTAAAGAACTGAGAAGCAACACTAAGATGATTTGGTTTCTTTGACACTTGTCACAATTTAAAAAAAAAATACAAAAAACAGTTTGAAAAATTTCAACCACCATAAAATTTTTACTATTCATGTGTCTTCCAAATGGATGAAAGTTCAGCTTTCTTTTTATCTTCAAAAAAAACCCCCACAATCTGGCACGGTAAGTGCTCTTGCAAGTTTCAGAGTCTCCTTCCATCCTTGTAAGGTCACAAGCTCCGGAGGAGTGCTCCAAACTTATCATTGAACATCAGAGATTCACAAATACACCTCCTGTGCCAAATTTATAGGGCATCATCCTTACTTAGGTAACTAAAAATGCACCTGCCCGGCTTTTAAGTACGAGAACTCTCTGTTTCGGAAAGTTTAAGAAAATTTGTGTTTCTGAATGCAAAACTAGAAGGAAAAWAAAACCCGCAAAAAACTAGATAAAACCCTTCCTTTCCACATACTATTGTCATGTTATCTGTATAAAAAGAAAAACAGAGATGATATGAAGAAGCCAGACATGAGTGACAAGAATCTAGAAACTTTTGAAAAAAATGGAAGAGAATAGCATCATGATSAGAACTCCTGGAAAAAATAAGTTGTTGGAAATATTATAAACAAATGAACAAGACTAGAATTTGTTATTTTCCCTCTGAAATGTAAGAAGGAAGAACCTCTGGATGCAGTGATAAGCAGGATGTGGAGATGGACACCTTAAATACAATTCTGTACATAATAATAGTAGGTAAGGAGAAAGAGAAAAAAAAGGGTTGATAGGTGTAGCAAGTTGCATTTAGTTCACAGAAGACAGCAAAGATTTCGTGAAATCTTACGAGCTTACAAAAGCAGGTAAGACATGGGAAAGGTAAGAGAGAGAGAAGAAAAACAGTAACAGGAAAATTTTATGAAGTCCCTGCTTGTTTTACTGATTAGGGACCCGTGTGGCCTCTGGTCCATCTTGGCTTTTTTTTTTTTCCGAATTACCTTGCAGTTCTGCAAGTTTGGTTTTTGCATCACAAAGCTCATCCTCTGCTGAGTGCTTTCGCAGGTGAGCCTCACTCTTGGCAGCTAGCAAGTCGTTCACCAGACCTTGGCGAACAGTCTCTTCTCTCTCCAGTTCCAACCGCAATTTCATTATCTCTTTTTCATACTGAGCCATCTAGAAAATAAATTTGTTTCAGGAATTGCATTCACAGCTGCCATCTTGTCCCATTTGAATTTGAAATATGGTCTTGCAATCATACATTTATGCACACTTTAGATATTTTATGGGTTTTTTTAATGTGAAATTATCCTATTCCTAGATTAATTTCATATACCTTAACCATACCACTCTGTTTTTCTAAACATGCTCTGCTTCAAGAAAATGGAAGTTATAATAGTATCCTTTTCCTGCACCTTAGTGTGAAAAATGCAACAACAAAAACATTGTATTCCACAGGCAATATTTTGATAACTGCATTTAACCCTTGAAAAACAACAATGTTGGGATGTTAGACTACCAGACACCTAGTAAAAACATTGTGTAAAAACAAAAGCTTCAGTCTAGTGATGTTCAGCAGTCAAGCAGAATACTATTAAACACAATGAAAAAAGCAACAAAAATGCTTMAAAAAGGGGCTTTATCCAGAGTAAGAAAGATTGTCTGGCCACTGCTGCCTAAAACTGGATCTAGGAAACCACGGTCCAAGCCATTTCAACACCAGAAGGTGGTAAGTAAAATATACGCTTCTCCAGAACATCTGCAAAGAAGTAGCACCCTTAATAACAGGAGCTCCATCCATGGGAAATAATTTATCCCCATTACTAAGGTTTTCCTTGATGCACTTGTGGCAGACTGGTACCTAAACGRGGCAGCAGTGACAAAATACTTTATTACAATTTTCTTTGGTTTGAATTATTATCACTGCTATATATACCAATTCTGCTTTTAGGAGTTTGTTAGGGGCAGCCGGTGTGGGTGCTCATTCATCTGGTTTTGGTTAAATACAGCCAGTAACCCAAGTTTGTTTTTCCATATCCATTTATTTAGAGATTCCTGCTYCTTCCACAGTGACTTGCTCTTGTTGTGCTCCCACTGCTCCATCAATGATGGGGTGGATTCTATAAAGTAGATCCCTTGAACTACATGGATTTAAACACTCAGACAAATTAACAAACAAACCATGTCTCATATTGAGAATTCTAAAGCTGGGGCTGCAAAATATTCTTCTGCATCATGTTGCTGTTGTGTAGCATCGAAATTGCTCACACACACCTTTAACCATTAAAAATGATGGTAAAAATGCTATCAGTTCCTAAGGGCAGAAGTCTGTACAGTGCTCTTTCTTTGTTATTTTTTAACTACTGACTCTGATGTTGATCCACCTGATGAGAGTACAATTTAAAGGAAAGTGATTACATTTATTCCAAAGGTAAAAAAAAAAGCAAACAAAACAAAACAAAAATGTCCTTACTTCTTGATTGTGTTGCTCGACCAATTCTGCATTTCGTTGCTCAGCCAGTTGGAGTCTCCTTGTCAAATCTTCAACAGCGTCCATTCCTGATGTATTGCTATTATCTTGCGTACTATTAAGTGAGCTGGAAAATTTTCAAAAAACGTGAGTAYTCCTTGGAAGTTTTAATGCTCCTTTACTCCAATTACCCAGTCATGGACCCAGAGTTTGAAACATTCCCATAAGCAAAATTATTCCTTGCAATTTACACCATGCTATTGCTATTTGAAAAAAAAAGGTTTATATAGAATTGCTTATGGTGCAAGATATGGGAGATGTAGCAGCAGGAACTTAAAGAAAGATGCACTTTGGATTAACAAAGTTGATTTAAGCACAGCACATTAATTATTATTTTATATTATCCTTATCTTTGCTAATGAACTTCCAGGATTTTTGGTAATTAACTTCCAGGCAGCTTAAAAACATCATTCCAATAATGTAAATTAAAATAACTGGAAGGGTTCTTGTCTCCACAGTAAGTCTCATTTTTTAACATGGATTACCATCCAAAACCATCTCTGTCATGAAACAAATGCACAGATGTGGAAAACCCCCTCACTTTTACACATTTTGTGTTCAGAGATATACACATTTAAACTACTTCAGACAGGTAAATGATCACAAACACAGTGCAAACTAAAGGATTCATCCTTTAAACTACCTTGTTTTATCTAAGTTTCTACTATTGCAGTTAAAAGAAAATCTGCTTGGCAATTAGCAGAATCACTCCTCAAGCAGCACGAACAATAATAAAAGAGTCAAAATCAAGTTTCTACATACAAAGTGAAAAATATATACACATAACATATAACATTTTTAATATACGTATTTACATGTATATGTACATATACATAGATATACACATATAAACATGTATATAAAAATATAGATTTAATTAATTAGCTTAATAATTCTAAGAGAAATTATTTTAACTTCAAACTGGACAACTTTAAAGTCATTGTAGCACTTGAAAATCTGTGTCCACATTATTTGATATATGTTGGTTTTCTCACTATTTTAAGTATGTAAGACTGCAATTATTAGTTGCTCCACACAGAAGTCCAAGAGTTCATGGGAAATAAATGTGAAATACAGAGCAAAAAGGAACGTGATTAAATTAAACACTAAAATGATATTATATAATACTGTAAATACTAAAATAGCTTATCTTTGTTTACAYGCAGTGTTTTTTACAGAAATGACTACATAGGGGGATTTAATTAATAGAATTTTCTAAATAAAAATGACCACTTTATCCCTAGACTTGAGCATAGGCGCAATTAACATTTTTCATGACCAAAAACTTTACCTGATGACATGTTTTCTCACTTTTTTTTTTGAGTGGCAAAAGAGACACAGAGGCCACCAACAAGAGGATTGGTAACTTAGGTTAAATCTTCAAAAATATTACTACTAATAAAGGAGGAAATCTAAGTTGTTTAGCTTCAGACTATAAATACATTATAATTGCATAAATGTTAACTATATACTTATTTAAAAAGAAGACAGACATCATGTATGACCTCAGAAGAGCTGTACGTCATCAGTAATTATTCCACACAGTGCCATGTTCTTAACACATTTTGTATCTTTGATAAATATAGGAGAAAAGAACGAATTGAAATGTTCATGCATTGCAAGAAAACCACAAGCACATTTTTAGCTTTCAGTTCTTGCTAGCAGAGTCACACCCAGAGAAATTAATATGGCTCAAAAGGCAAGAGATCAGCAAYAATTAGAATCACTTTATTTAATGCAACTCAGCTACTGCAATGAGGGAATTTGGAAATAAGTGGAACCTGACCAGCCAGAACATCTGCAAGCTGAATAAAATCTTGTTTGTGAGCATCATGTAACAGATTTGAGAAATAATAACCTTTATTTCTCCCTGGCTGGGGAAAACAAAGAATAAATAATTGTTTTTTTTAATTTATTTTTATTCAGAGAGGGTGAATGAAGCATCAATCTCAGCTAAAACAGCTAAAAGCCACACAGCACTAAGGAGAAAAACAGAACCCAAACTGAAAGCTGGACAAGACTTGGTCCAAGAAACAAGGATTATGGAAAGAATAACCATTTAGTTAATTTATGGGCAGCAGGGGAGTAATTTGGCTTCTTTAAACCTGGCGAGATTTAATATTTTTTGTAGAGAGTGCACACAGAATGAAAGTAAGAGAATAACCTCTTTTTGTAAAGTAAACGAGAAATACCTTTAAATTTTTTATTAAGTTACATTGGTTTGTACAGTCAGAGTTAAAGAAGTCTGTTTCTCTGAGCTTTCCTATTAAATACCCAGCAACAAAAGAATGATAATGGAAACACCTACACATTAAAACTTACTCAGAGGAGAAATTAACTATGCAATTAACTGTTCTGCTTAAGTGAACCAGTGAGTGTGTGTGGGAGGCACAAATAAACCCAAAACCAAACCATGCACAACTTATATGACACCACAAGCATTAAAAAATTTGGGATGCTATTGAAATTAAAGATGTGTATTAGAGCAGAAAGCATAATAGTCGGTACTGGGAAAAAAAAAAAAAAAAAAAAAGAGCATTAGACACCTTTTTAAAATAGCATTCTATGCACAGCTTCTGAGCTTTCACAATGCATTTAATGGAAATTGACAAACATAAATCACAAAATACTAATTCTTTTCTTAGTATAGAACCATAAAAAACACCCCAAAACAACCAATAAAAGCAAGCAAGCAAGCAAACAAACAAACAAACAAAGAATTCCAACTAGCCAACAAGTGACAAAACTGATGGATTATTGCTCTATGAACCACTGCATTTTAGTTGTCTACTTACACACTTTCAAATAAAATCGAAACCAACTTYAATATTTTTATTTCTGTGTCACTTTAATTGTCACAGCATGGCCAACCCATGCAGTACTTTATGAAAGCTTCCTATGACCACTTGTAGGAAGTTCTTCAATCTGTAGAAGTGTTACAAGCATAAAGCTCTCAGAAGGTTCAAAGATATAACCACACAAAGACCCTGGAAAGTTTCAAAGCATATACAATTTGCAGTCTAACAGAATTCAGAGTATGTTTTCTACTTGCATTTTCATATATTACTAGTCCATCAATCATTGGGTTTGAACCAAAATGTGTAGTTTATCAAATATGGCTTTTATCTAACACACCCCTTTTAGCAGGACTTTAAGATTCTTCAAGAAATCATGAGCAGGTGAAATAGCTTTTGAGTTCTACATTGCAGAAAGCATTTTGTAGCTCAAAACCTGAATTTTCAGTGTTCACATGTCATCTGGTTACAGTCAACACTGACCATTGAAGAAAACCAGCTTTTCCCTAGCTTCAACTCCACAGCTGGCAGAAAATGCAGAGCAATTTTGCAACAGACAGTAATATTCTTCTGCACGTTACCTATTAGTGCAGTTTTGCTAAACATCTGCAGCTGATGGAGCAGATTGCAGTCTGATTTTCTAACCAAAGCCCATATTCATGGAATATTACAGTTCCCATATAACTGAGAGTTTTGTACAATCAGACTAAAGACAGATAAATAACTTGTGGCAGAGATCAAACTCACATCCGGTTATAAAAAACAGGGACCACGGGCAAGACTTAAAGCCAACCTCCCCCACCTCATTTAATGTGGAAAATCCCCTTGTGCCTCCTGGGCAGTGTTTCTAAGCACTGGCAGAAACTTTCTCTCCCTGCAAATGATTCTGTGACACCTTGCATGTATCRCATTGTATCTGGTTCTCCTCCAGCCTGAATTGCATCATTTCAGGTGTCCAGAAGATCAAGAAGCCACAAAAGGAGGAGCTAAACTGATTTTAGACTTAAAAATCCAGAAGTGGAGCTCACCATTTAGCTTCCCTGCAAGAGATGTTGCCTGAAGAYAGCGAACTCATGGTGCCCCAAATGTAGTTTTTTAAGCCTGTAAACTGTAGAGAATTAAGAYCATTGTTAACTAYATATACTRAAAGAATGCTCTTTTCTATATAAKAAAAACATTAAAACCTGTAGCAGASACATGCTTTATTTTTCAACCTACTAAAATACTAATTTTTTAACCACTCTTGATCAACTACACAACAGCTTCATTACCAAGTTGTGTGGGCAATTACCTCAACTGCAATTTGACATTAGCTTTAGTCAACAGAATTGTACTGCTAGTCCTCTAAGTTGGAATATTGTAGACAAATAAATATATATATTATTATATATCAGTATATATTAAATATAGTAGTAGTAAAAATCCACTGTCAGAGTTTTCAGYGTATCAATAAAAGATGTTGTGCTTGAGTAGATTGATCTACATTCTCCTAAGCAGATTACAGACTCCACTTTCTTTCAAAATAATTCTGAGGGAGCTAAATGCAGGTACTAGGATTTATTTTTTTTTTTTAGTCTATCAAATATCCAAAGTTAGCTGTCTAACAGAAGACTTGCTGTGTTAAAGGCTGCTGAGCCTTTCACAAATTGTGAACAATTGTGAACAGTTTTCACATTTTCATAATGAAGAGCAGAGAGAAAAAAAAGAAAAAAACCCTACACCCCCCAAAAAATGCGAAAACCAACTGAATCTCATAATAGAATCAAAATGTTTTCTATCACATCCACATTATTCTGAAGTTTTAAAACTCCTTTAAATTATTCTGAACTCACATAGAGGAAAGAGAACTCCTAAATTTGAAGTGTGGTGCCTGGGGATGCTAAAGATTTTGAATACACATTATTCTTCCGTCAAAATATGCATCAATGATTTACTAGYACACAAAGTGATAAATTTAAAAAATCATGCTATTTCATGTAGGAAAAAAAACTATTCCAGTGCCATGGAACGGCTTGTAGGAGCTCCATAATGAAACAAAACAGTAGAGGAAGTTTTTGCTTGAGAAATTATGTTTGATGTGTCACTAAAAACTTGTGTCATACTCGCAAACATCTGAATATGCTGAATACTATTGGTAACACCAATAATATTGGTTTAAAATGAGCATGGGGAAGAAATTCTTCCCCAATGAGGGTGGGGAGGCCCTRGCACAGGATACTAGAGGAGCTGTAG